CTGTTCCTCACCCGGTCTCTGAAAACAATGGGCTGACCCTTCACCCCAACCCATGGGTCCTCCACCTCCAGGCTTGGATCTTTCTTTGTTCCAAGGCTTAGAAGCAGAATGCTCTGATAAGCTGAAACACATGTTGCAATACAACCACAAGTTGACCACTCCACATAGCCATCTACAAAACGGAAACGACTCCAAGTTTGTACCATTCCAAATGGACAGACCCAACCTCCTCTTTCCTCCCTCTTATTTTGCACTACATTTTAAACTCTCACTCAGCTCCCTTAAGGTACGTCTCAAGGTGAAAATGGCTTCCCACTTGGAGTTTGCTCAACCACTAATGCGTAGACTCTTTAAGGGCATTGGGACTCTCTTCCCCCATGTGACACCACCCTCTCCAGCCTGGGACTTTAATCTACTTCTCAGGGCTTGGATTAGACCTCCCTCCGAGTCCAGGGCAACTTGTTCTCTCTTTATACCTGTCCATGATGACAGCATTTCTAATTGCCATCACCTCAGCTAGGCACATACGAGAAATAGTCGCCCTGATGGCACACCCATCATTCACAGCCTTTGTCTTTTCAAAAATAAATAAATAAAATAAAAAAAAACTCTAAGGCCATATCCCAAGTTTCTCCCTACTTTTTCTGCATTTTCCATGTGAATCAACAGATCCATCTCCCTGTTTTTTCCCAAAACCACATTTGTGACAACTGGGAGACAATTGTGCATATGCTAGATATTAGAAGGACATTAGCATTCTACTTGGACAGGACTAAGGACTTAAGGAAATCCCCTAAATTCTTCCTTTCATCCGCTGAAAGATCCAAAAGCTCTGTGATATCTCGTCAAAGACTATCCAAATGGGTCTCTAGTTGCATTAATCACTTAGCAAGGATGCAACTTGCTTCCATCCATACGCACTCCATGAGATCAGTTCCTACCTCAATCACATTCCATAGGGATACCCCTTTCTCCCCAATCTATAGAGCAATGATTGGGGCCTCTGTCCATACTTTCGCAGAACATTATGCAATCACTGAAGATTTGGCCGCTGACACCATCTTCAACTCCACAGTACTCTCTGTAGTAAAAGACTCCGCTCTGAAGTCCCAGCCTCCAGTGGTGGGTACTGCTCCAGAGTCACCTAAAGTGGAGCACCCATAGGGACACTACTCGAAGAAGAAGAAGAGGAGTTACTCACCTTGTGCAGTAACTATGGTTCTTCGAGATGTGTGTCCCTGTGGGTGCTCCACAACCCGCCTTCCTCCCCTCTACTTTGGAGTTCTCTATAGGGCTCTGTGGTAGAGAAGGAAGTGAGGGGGGTTCGCCTGTGCAGTGCTAAATAGCCTCAAGGCAGACCACGAGGGAGGGAGAGCACATGTGCGGGCTCAGCGGGACACTGCTACCAAAAATTTCCGATGAGAGATGCATGGGCACACAGACACCTAAAGTGGAGCACCCATAGGGACACACATCTTGAAGAACCATCGTTACTGCACAAGGTGAGTAACTTCCTCTTTGTCTGCTTTTTTCTGTTGATGGTCTGTGCAGTTTAGCAAGGTGTAACACGTTGTACTCTGGGGACCCACGTCACTCCCGGACCACGGCATCCTCTTCAGGGCACGGCCCTCCAGCTGTGCCCCAACTCCGTTGTCTCCCTGCCTCTGGGGGGAACCAGCAGTCCTTCGCCTAGCCTCTCATTGCAATGGCGAACTGCAGCCCTAGTCCAGCCTCTCGCTCAGGGACAAACTGCAGTCCTTTGGCTGACCACCTCCTTCAGCAGCCAGTGGGGCAAAAGAGGGGGTGGGGGCAAGGCCTGCCCACTACTCTGGCCCCCAATGCAGGGACCCTATAGCTGGCAGCCGCTCACTGCCTCTCCTTCCCCTCTGTCGCTACCTGCTTTACCTGGGCCACTTCCCCATAGTCCCAGCACCTACTTGGCCCCTGTATCAAGGCCTCCGTCTGGGAGCCAGCCAGGCTGGAGCTGCGCTTACACCCCTGACCAGCACTGCTCTGTCTCAGGCACTTCTCTCTCTGCAGGCAGCCAGCCCTTCTCCCTCAGTCTCCAGGGAGAGACTAAGTTACTCTCTGCCCTGCAGCCCTTCTTATAGGGCCCAGCCTGGCCCTGATTAGCTGCTTCTAAGCCTTCCTCTGGTTGGCTGGGTTCTGCACAGCCACTCAAGGGCTGCTATTAACCCTTGGTTAGCCAGTGAGGGGCAGCTGCCCCATCACACAACCTCTTTGTAAGATTGATTTACGTTGCATCTCTGATCATACCACCTCTGCTGAATTTCTTGGCAATGTTATTCTTGGATATCATATTCAATTAATTCCACTGATTCCTTTTACCCTCTTTCTTATGGCAGAAAGGAAATTAAAGCAAAAATAGTTGTTAATGCAGCATTAGAATTGATATTTTTAATTCACAAAATTTAAAAGAAAAATATGCCCAGCAGAAAGTCACTTGAGCACACTTCTTAAAGGGAGAGGGAAGATGGCTTTCCATAGCACATAGAGTAACTAGAGTAGGTTAGGGGCTTTCCATCAACGAATGGACAGTTGAAATAATGGATTAATTTCACCCTCAGCAAATTCGCAGATGCCACTAAACTGGGGGAGAGTTAGATATGCTGGAGAGTAGGGATAGGGTCCAGAGTGACCTAGACAAGTTGGAGGATTGGGCCAAAAGAAATCTGATGAGGTTCAACAAGGACAAGTGTAGAGTTCTGTACTTCAGAAGGAAGAATCCCATGCACCGCTACAGGCTGGGAACCGGCTGGCTAAGCAGCAGTTCTGCAGAAAAGGACCTGGGGATTACAGTGGACGAGAAGCTGGATATGAGTCAACAGTGTGCCCTTGTTGCCAAGAAGGCCAATGGCATTTTGGGATGTATTAGTGGGAGCATTGCCAGCAGATGGAGGAAAGTGATTATTCGCCTTTGTTCAGCACTAGTGAGGCCACACCTGGAGTATTGTGTCCAGTTTTGGTCCCCCCCACTACAGAAGGGATGTGGACAAATTGGAGAGAGTCCAGCAGAGGGCAATGAAAATAATTAGGGGTCTGGGGCACATGACTTACAAGGAGAAGCTGAGGGAACTGGGGTTATTTAGTCTGCAGAAGAGAAGAGTGAGGGGGGATTTGATAGCAGCTTTCAATTACCTGAAGAGGGGTACCAAAGAGGATGGAGCTAGGCTGATCTCAGTGGTGGCAGATGACAGAACAAGAAGCAATGGTCTCAAGTTGCAGTGGGAGAGGTCTAGGTTGGATATTAGGAAACACTATTTCACTAGGAGGGTGGTGAAGCACTGGAATGGGTTACCTAGGGAGGTGGTGGAATCTCCATCCTTAGAGGTTTTTAAGGCCCGTCTTAACAAAGCCTTGGCTGATATGGTTTAGTTGGTGTTGGTCCTGCTTTGAGCAGGGGGTTGGACTAGATGACCTCCTGAGGTCTCTTCCAACCCTAATATTCTATATTTAGCTTATGACCCCCCGATACTCTTTCCGCAGTTCTCTTTGCTGGGCAGTCATTTCCCATTTTGTTTGTGTGCAACTGATTTGTTCCTTCCTAAATGGAGTACTTTGCATATGTCCTTATTGAATTTTATCTTATTTACTTCAGATCATTTCTCCAGTTTGTTCAGATCATTTTGAATTTTAATCCTATCTTCCAAAGCACTTGCAACCCCTCCCAGCTTGGTATTGTGTGCAAACTTTATAAGTGTACTCTCTAAGCCATTATCTAAATCGTTGATGAAGATATTGAGCAGAACCGGACCCAGAACTGATCCCTGCAGGACCCCATTTGTTATACCCTTCCAGCATGACTGTGAACCACTAATAACTACTCTTTGGGAAAGGTTTTCCAACCAGTTTTTCACTCACCTTATAGTAGCTCTATCTAGGTTGCATTTTCCTAGTTTGTTTATGAGAAGGTCATGCAAGATAATATCAAAAGCTTTACTAAAGTCAAGATATCATTAATTTGGAGTTTTATTTGATGGGTTGTCTAGCCTATAAGGCATGCACTCAACTGTTTGCGTTCATTTTCTTAGAATGTTGGTTTCTGACATTGGTTTTCATCCCTATGTGTTAGACAAAGGCAGTTGCCAACACTTCTGTAAACTCTCGGGCCCTGTCTAGAATCATGCATGACTAGTTTAAAAATAAAAAGAAAAGGAGTACTTGTGGCACCTTAGAGACTAACCAATTTATTTGAGCATGAGCTTTCGTGAGCTACAGCTCACTTCATCGGATGCATACCGTGGAAACTGCAGCAGACTTTTCTTTTTGCGAATACAGACTAACACGGCTGTTACTCTGAAACCTAGTTTAAAAATGTTAACATGTTACCTAAATGTTCAGTGCCACTGTTTAGTATAAACAAAGATTGATGTTTTTAAAACATTAGTTGGTCATGATCAGACCTATTCTTGAAAACAAAAGAACTGATGGGTACATTTATATTGATTTCAAGTTTTCCAAAAACTTGTTTTGATGTATCTAAATGTTGTCAAATTTTAACTGACAGTGTCTCTTCAGTATTAAAAGGTGTGCAAGAATGCCAGAGATCATCTCAGTCTAGGCAAAAACTTTTCCACTTCATCTAGTGTTAGCACTGAACAGAAATGATAGTGGCTTCTTCTGTGGCATCTCACTTGAGTGACCACAATGATAGTAAACTTCCATAGTCTAGGAAAAGGAGATGTGCAGGGGGGTTGAAATGAGAAAATTGACTTAATCCAGTTTGAGAATTTTATGTAATGTCTGTTTTGAAGTTTACTCTGGCATTTGACTGCTAATCACGACATACTGAAGAGCTTTAAAAACTTAATAGAACTATTTTTAAAGTTTAATTTAAATGGATAATTTGAGTTTTTCACAGAGATTATCTGGGGAAACGGCTGCTTTTGGGTGTGTTTATAAACTCTCCCTGTGCCTTTTTTTAAAGAATGGAGTTTTGTTTTGGATACAGACTTTTGTATTTCCAATTTTTTCATTAGACGCGGAAGTCAGCTCTGAGGAATCTGCTTCTACTGGAGAGGAGCAAGAAAATGAAACTCCACCTGCTACATCCAGTGAGACAGAGCAGCCAAAAGAACCAGAGAGTGAGAAGGGAGAAGCAAAGTCTTCTGAAGAAACCAAAAAGGAGTAAGACCTATCCTTTCTGAATGCCTGGAATTGGGGTGGGATTGCAGGGGAAGTTAGGAAAAATTCTTCTAAAGGATCTTAGTGACAAAAGACTAAAATTTTCTTGAAAACTAAGGATGGGAGCCAAAATGTCACTGCTGTTTTTGAAGTAAATTAATACAAAATTGAGTATTTTGTTTTGGGGTGGAACACATTCCTTGGGTTCATCCAGTAGCAGATTACATTTCCCAGAAAATTATTTGTGTGGAATTTTTTTCCCCTGCAAACCAGATTTGCCGGAAAATACATGTTTTCTGCAAAACGGTTTGCTAGTCTGAATATATTGAACATATTGTCCATCTTTTTGTTTTCCATTAGTACAGGGAGAGGGATATACTTATGTCACTTGACTGCCGACCTGAAATGACAGGTTTCAGAGTAACAGCCGTGTTAGTCTGTATTCGCAAAAAGAAAAGGAGTACTTGTGGCACCTTAGAGACTAACCAATTTATTTGAGCATGAGCTTTCGTGAGCTACAGCTCACTTCATCAGATGCATACCGTGGAAACTGCAGCAGACTTTATATATACACAGAGAATATGAAACAATACCTCCTCCCACCCCACTGTCCTGCTGGTAATAGCTTATCTAAAGTGATCATCAGGTGGGCCATTTCCAGCACAAATCCAGGTTTTCTCACCCTCCACCCCCCCACACAAATTCACTCTCCTGCTGGTGCTAGCCCATCCAAAGTGACAACTCTTTACATAATCAAGTCGGGCTATTTCCTGCACAAATCCAGGTTTTCTCACATCCCCCCCACCCCCAAATACACACAAACTCACTCTCCTGCTGGTAATAGCTCATCTAAACTGACAACTCTCCAAGTTTAAATCCAAGTTAAACCAGAACATCTGGGGGTGGGGGGGTAGGAAAAAACAAGAGGAAACAGGCTACCTTGCATAATGACTTAGCCACTCCCAGTCTCTATTTAAGCCTAAATTAATAGTATCCAATTTGCAAATGAATTCCAATTCAGCAGTTTCTCGCTGGAGTCTGGATTTGAAGTTTTTTTGTTTTAAGATAGCGACCTTCATGTCTGTGATTGCGTGACCAGAGAGATTGAAGTGTTCTCCGACTGGTTTATGAATGTTATAATTCTTGACATCTGATTTGTGTCCATTTATTCTTTTACGTAGAGACTGTCCAGTTTGACCAATGTACATGGCCTGTTTCCTCTTGTTTTTTCCTACCCCCCCCCCGATGTTCTGGTTTAACTTGGATTTAAACTTGGAGAGTGGTCAGTTTAGATGAGCTATTACCAGCAGGAGAGTGAGTTTGTGTGTATTTGGGGGTGGGGGGGATGTGAGAAAACCTGGATTTGTGCAGGAAATAGCCCGACTTGATTATGTAAAGAGTTGTCACTTTGGATGGGCTAGCACCAGCAGGAGAGTGAATTTGTGTGGGGGGGTGGAGGGTGAGAAAACCTGGATTTGTGCTGGAAATGGCCCACCTGATGATCACTTTAGATAAGCTATTACCAGCAGGACAGTGGGGTGGGAGGAGGTATTGTTTCATATTCTCTGTGTATATATAAAGTCTGCTGCAGTTTCCACGGTATGCATCTGATGAAGTGAGCTGTAGCTCACGAAAGCTCATGCTCAAATAAATTGGTTGACCTGAAATGAGCAATTCATCTTTGAGGTGGTTCTGCATATTCCTGTTTGTGGGATGTACGTACACACAAACTCCTGTCAGTACCCAGAGAATCTACAGCTAGTTGTGAAAAGGAAAGCACTGAAGAGGATGGGAACTGTGTGTACTCTCGGGGCACAGAATGCTTACTTGTGGTCCCAACAGGCACTGCTTTTCTAGAAGATTCCAAAGCTCAGCTGGGCTGTGGGCAAATCCCACAAATGTAAATAAGTAGGAGTAATATTCAGGCAACCTGTCTTTCGTGTCCTAATCACAGAGATTCTGTGTAAGGGGCTCCACTGTTAGCACCTTGTTCTATTACTGAATTCCCAGGATGTGAATTAAGTGTTTTGTTCTACTTGATGCTGTTTCCCAAGAAGAGAAGCCTTGAGGTTGCTCCAAACTGGTGTCCCACCCCCACTTGTGGTTGCAAATAATTCTTCCTGTTCTACCACTTTCCAATGAACTGAAATAAATCCTTGCTGCAATTCAAAATCAGTTTTGCTAGACTGCTAAGTTAGTGATTTAAATGTGCTATACGGTAATATTCCTGTAACCTTCTTATGACAGTTACTTTGCCTCTTCCCTGGTAAGGCAGAGCCCTTACAGAAGTTTAACTGAACAACCCATATGCCATGTTAGTATACTGTAAGGGTGTTATCCAGAGTGCAAAGCTTTCTGCATTGTCTTTTTGACTAACTCTGACTGTCCATCACGGGGGGCTAGGTATAGACTAGGAGCCCTATGACAGTGTAGGTATAGTACTATACTCTGCTGGCAAAGTGCTCCCAGTGTGGACACAGTTTATTCTAATAAAACTGTACTTTTGCTGACATAGTTCATTCTAGGTATCGTGTCTCTTCTCTCTCTCTCTCTCTCTCACAATCTCCCACTCCAAAAGCTAACCAAGCATCACTGGCAGAAGTGCAGGTTTGCCAATATAACTATCTACATTAGGGACTTTTGCTGGTACAACTGTGTTGGTCACACGTCACACCCCTGCTGACATAGCTATGTCCGCAAAGGTTTGTAGGGTAGACCTGGCCTGGATATGGGTCTCCATTCTGTCTTGGAACCCTGTGTTGTCCAAAGGAGAGTTAAAGTTGTGGTATACTGTGTGAATCCTTTTGGCTGAAGGGACAAGGGCAGATCTCTAGTTCCTTGTGTCCTTGTTGGTCTTGAACACGTCTGTTAGTTATGTAGTAAATGAATTGGTCTTTTGAGGGGTTTTGGATTTATCCTCTGGCACTGAACTACCACAGTCTATGCTTCAAAATTATATTACTTTAAATATAAAGTCCTCAGTGCTGTATCCACTTAGCCTCCTCCTATATTTTTTTAAAAAGCCCTTCCTTTTCAAGACAACCTTTTGAGATTTTTGTTTTGGTTTGTATTTTTTGGGGGGGGGAGGGAGGGTTGAGTTTTGCCTCTTTGCTCCATGGGCTGCCTTGGTGCAATATCTGTTGTCTTTGTAGTGATAAACACCCATTTTTTCATGATTTGTGTGTATAAAAACAAACATCTTCTGTATTTTCCACAGTATGCATCCGATGAAGGGAGCTGTAGCTCACGAAAGCTTATGCTCAAATAAATTGATTAGTCTCTAGGGTGCCACAAGTACTCCTTTTCTTTTTGTTGTCTTACTGTCACTGTTTTTTTTTTCCCCTCTCCCCTAAAGTGAGAAGGATCAGTCTAAAGAAAAGGAGAAGAAAGTGAAAAAGACCATTCCCTCATGGGCAACCCTTTCTGCTAGCCAACTAGCTAGAGCACAGAAGCAAACACAGATGGCTGCTTCCTCACGCCCAAAGATGGATGCTATCTTAACTGAGGCCATCAAGGCAAGTGGAAGACTTCATTCCCTTTGTTTGTAGGTCAGATATAAAATATATTATGAATCTGAGGATTCTTAGGCTTCACAGTGGTATCCTCAGTTTCTTTTCTTGGGACTAATATATATTTAATTCTGACTGTGGGTAAGCAAAATCACTTTCAGCATGTGTTAAGGCATGGAGAAGTCGGTCCTCAGATACTACAAGGAGTATGTTATAAGTGCATAGATAAGGCAAGAGATCGTGTATCTGTATTAACATAACCGTGCTGCTGCGATGGTGGGGCAGGGAAAAATAATCCTAATAGGAGGTCCAGAAATCCTGCCGTGGTGATGTGCCCTTGTGTTCAGGTCAGCTTTCTGTATAGACATGAATAATACTGTACTTTTAAAAGAAACTTCCTTTTGTAGTATAGTCGTGCAATTAGCTATAATACATTGTATACTGTTGGACTTCGGTGACAGAAATTCCATGTGGTCAGATGTCGGGGGTGGGTGTGTGTGTGTGTCTGTGCGCATGTTCGTTCTCTCTCTCTCTTCTTCTCCCCCCCGCCCCCATCCCAGCTCTGCGGAGATAGCAGAATTTGATTGAGCTGCCCATTAAATCCACAGACTCGGTTTTCAGCAAAGGAACTTGGTCAGGTTTATTGCCGATGAACGGTGCTAATGCCCTGGCTCAATGGTACACTAACACATGTGCTCGTGACAATGTACTGGCTCAGTGAATGGCTGGACTTTCCATTCTCCCCTTGGCCAGACAAAGACACTCCCTCTGAGATACATCTTTATACACAGATACAAACAAGTTCCTTGTTGCCCCCGTGATGTGACTAGTTACTGCCCTCTGACATGCCTAGATACCACCCTGTAATGTAGCTAACCACCACCAATTACTGTGTACCTGTTGGTTCAGTCAGAACATCTCTATCCATCATGCTGTTATACTGACCTTATCTTCAAGATGGGTTAGCATATTCCTGTTATCTTTTGAGGAATGTGTTGGTGTCGAGGTGTTCTGGTACCACCCTTCTGGAATGTGTTTGCATGCATGGCCTGTGCCTAGCACCACTTAGGAATGTGTGTTTCTGCAATATCAGCCCTGTTCTTGCCAATATCCACCTGACTTTGCTTTATATCCGCAAAGCTTTGACCACTATTTAGCTCAGGCCTCATACTAGGTCTCTGATACGAGGGCTTATGTTTCAGGTCCTCTTCCTACTACATTCTTGACTCCTGGCACTTGAATTTTATTTCTCAGTCAGTGATGTAACTGAGGGGGGCTCTTGACAAACTTTTCTCTGTCTAGATTTTGTACCTCTTCGTGCTTAACACATTAGAAACTGTTGCATTGACTTTGGTTGACTGCTGACATCAGTTAACCAGTCTGCTGTGCTTCTGCTTCTAGCTGTGTTCTTCCGGATTTATTTTGATTGGCACAGCAGTTTGCTATGTGTCTCTTTCAAAGCTTTTTCAAAGCTCAAAATGGATTGAAATACTGCAAATTAAGTCCAAAAATGGCAGTGGTCTTAAGTCTACTGCATCCCCACTTCTGGCTGTGGCCCAAGATGCTTTTTGTAGCAGTAACAGTGCCACCTTCCCCTTAGAACTCACTCAATGCACACTCCCTTCACAGGGAGTCTGGGCTCCACCAGCCTTGGTTGCAAAAGACTCTACCTCTCCCGCCACTGCAGTCTTCCGAAGTTTCGTCCAAATCCATTGGAGGAAGAGAGAAGAAATGCTCTAAACTCTAGGTTGCTATAAATCCTAGATTGCTGGCTGTTATTTAGAAGAGGCAGGTAATGGTGTAGATTCTAAGGCTCATAACTCTGCTCTGTGTGGGTTAAATTCATTCCGTGCTACATGGCTATACATGTGGGCAGTCAGCCTAAATCTATCTAGACCTGCAAATTGACTTTATACCCAGAGTTTCATCAAGTTAAACCCTTGGAACTACCGATTAATTGATTTTAAAATAAGATTTATTTTTTTTTTAAGTAATTGATTTAGGATAACAACTGGGCTACAAAACAAGCAGAATTATAGTATTGTTATAATCTTAAGAGCTCTTATACTTAAGAATATTTTAAAGTAACACTTGGTATCCTAAACATGAATCTCTGAAAGAAGCAACTTTAAAATATGAATTTGTAGCTTAGTTTCTGTTTTTAGCCTGCTAGTTTCACTCTCAAAATTCAAGGCAAAAAATTGGGAGTGGAAATTTGGCAATTACCGTATATACTTGTTCATAAGCCGAAATTGTTTTAGTAAAAAAGGGAAGCACCAGAGAAGGGAGTTGGCTTATCAACGGGTATAGAGAGGGAGAGATGGGACGCAGCCCCTCTCCCCAACAGAGGGAGCAAGGAGAGGCAGCAGAGCCAGAATGGAAAAGGCGGGGCCAGAGTCTCTCCGCTGCTCTTCCCCCCAGCCTCCGAAGCAGCCGTAGCTCCGGGGCTGGCAGGCTGCAGCCATGTTGCTCGGCCCCACCCTGCAGAGCAGGCTGCGGCCACACCGCCCGGCCCAGCCTGCTGGAACATGCTGTGGCCGTGCCACCCGGTCTGGCCTGCCAGAGCAGGCTGCGACCGCGCTGCCCAGCCATTCAGAGCAGCTCCAGCCAGGCCAGATGCATCCTCCCCAGATAAGATGGGATGGGATGGGGAGAGTGTGGGGGTCCCGGGCTAGGAGTGGAGTCATGTGGGGGGTGGTCACGGGTTACTCCCCTGACCCCCAGCTTCTCTTCCGCCCCCCTCCCCCGCCCCCCGAAAAAAATGTCCCCACTAGTTACTGTCCCGACCTGTCAGGGTAAGCAGCTGGCGCGCCAGGACGCTTTGTTTACGTAGGTTTGCCTCTGTCTGCCGACTCTCAAGGTAAACAAACCATCTTGACCCACCAGCAGCTTATCCTGATGGCCGGGGAGCCAAAGTTTGCTGATCCTGAATTATAGGGTCGGCTTATGAATGGGTCATAAAAATTTTCTATTTTTACTTATCCATCTGGGGGGGAGGGGGTCGGCTTATAAACGAACCAGCTTATGATCAAGTATATGTATGGTACTTCAGTAACCAATGATTAACTCGGTCTGACGTTGGTGGAACATATTAACAGTTGTGCAGTTGTTGCTTTGCTGTAAGGAGTGATTATCTCTGTTACAACATAAATTGCTACTTTGTAACACAGGACAGGAGAGTGTTCCACCTGTTTACCACACTATTTTCATGTTTGCTGTTCAGTCAATCTGTAAGGGTAGAAAGATATGGTATCGTTAGTGCTATTCTTTGCTTCTGAAACCAATGTGGGACCAAGGCTAGCCCTGGCATGTTGGGCCACTGTGCTGTCATATATGCAACAGTTAATCTCTACCCCTCTGGTCCCATAGAGAGGTAGGTCTATTGCACTTGGTTTGCTAACTTGTTGGTTCTGTTTCAGGCATGCTTTCAAAAGAGTGGTGCATCCGTGGTTGCCATACGTAAATACATTATACACAAGTACCCTTCCCTGGAACTTGAGAGGAGAGGCTATCTTCTAAAGCAAGCACTGAAAAGGGAACTGGAGAGGGGAGTCATCAGACAGGTAAGAGCCACTCTGACCAGCACTGCAGAGGTGGGTGAAAATACCCATATTAACCTAATAGTGAGGCACTCAATAGTCATGTCATTTGGGTGATCATCTTCTCCCTCTTGAAGGTTACTATACCTTTGTCTCTGCTTCTTTGATCATTGACAGGATGTCAGCATTGTTCTAGGAACCACATACTTTGTAAGTTTCTGTGCAAGACACAAGTGTTTGTATTTTGATGGTGGAACTGTGGTTTAGGGCATTGCAACAACTCATGTCTTCACCGTATGTTCAGCTACCTCACCTTTTTGCATCAGCATGTCTAATTTAAAAGTATGTTTTGTCCTGGCAACATCAGATTTCCAGCATCACAGAATCATCTGCTCAAGGCAAACAGATTATGCCAGTGGCTCTCAAACTTTTTTACTGGTGACCCCTTTCACACAGCAAGCCTCTGACTGCGACTCCCCACCCCTTATAAGTTAAAAACACCTTTAAATATATTTAACACCGTTATAAATGCTGGCAGCAAAATGGGGTTTGGGGTGAAGGTTGACAGCTCGTGACTCCCACATGTAATAACCTCGCGACCCCCTGAGGGGTCCCAATCCCCCATTTGAGAACCCCTGGATTATGCTATTATAATTGCCTTTTGTTACCAACTAGCTCCTTAATCTTACAGAAAGGTCAGTCCTTCTTGTTTAAAATCACCATAGCTCTCTGTGGCTAAGATAGAGGGCTCCAATCTAAGACCATGTCTACACTGCGCTTTCATCGGTAAAACTTTTGTCTGGGGGGGGAATCCCTGACTGACAAAAGTTTTACTGATGAAAAGCGCCGGTGTGGACAGACACTCTCCTACCGACAAAGCTACCACCCCTCATTGGGGGTGATTTTGTTTTGTTTGCAGAAGAGCTCTCCTGTGTCGCTGTAAGGTGCACAATCGAGAGGTAGTCTAAATCTTTGGCACAATATACTACAGCCTTTCTCAACTGGTCATTATTGAAAGTTAATTTATTGCTTACTGGGGACTGAAATGGAAATTATTCTTTAAAATAGGTGAAAGGAAAAGGAGCCTCTGGGAGTTTTGTGGTGGTCTCTAATGCAGGGAAAACTGTTCCGAAATCCAGAGACAGAAAGGTAAGATATATCAGTTTTAATAATAAATATTGTCTCAAAGGCCTTTGAGGTGCCCAGCAGAATACAAGAAAAAACATATTCTACAAAATGCAGTATGGCCCAAAACCAGGTACCCAACAGCTGCTCCTTCCCCTTCTTTCCCAAATATATTCAGTAAAACATGTTTTATTATAGGAAAAAATTAGCTGTGAGAAATCATTTAGTTGGTCTGTCTAGTTCTTAATGAGACAAGGTGGATGACATAATATCTCTTATTAGATCAACTTCTGTTGATGGAAGGTACAAGTTCTCGGGCGTCGTAGAGCTCTTCTTCAGCTCCAGAAAAATTAATCAGTGTCACAGCTAAATACCAAGTGGGGCAGATTGTTAAGCATAAGGGAAATCATTTAAAATGATTTTAGCAATAGTACCTCTACAGTCATAGGAAAAGAGGGTTAGTGGGTTACAAATTGTTGTAATTAGCCATAAAACCAGTGTCTTTGTGTCCATAATTTTTTTAGTGTCTAACAGAGTTATGAATTTATGTTCCCAGGGCCTTCTTTTGAAGGTGGAGTGCAAGTTTCCTTTGAGGATGAGGACTGAAAAGTCAGATATGGATATTTGCAAAAAAAGTTCACCCACAAATGGGTAGTGTTTTGGTTTTTTGTTTTTTTTTTTTTCCCCTTGAGAGCTCATTCGAGAACGTAGTGGTTGTCTCTCTTCACCCACATAGTTCTAGTAGGGGCAGTTGGATGCACTGGCTGAGGTACATCACACATTATGCAAGGCACATTTAGGATACATGGATCTTGAAAGGTGTGTTTGGGGGGGTGTTGATGTCTGCAGTTTTGTATTTGTTGTGATGGCAGAGTCTGGTGCTACTTCGACTTGGTGTGACCTGGTCTGATGATGAGCTTGGTGAGTCTGGGAGGCTATTTAAAGGTCGCAAAAGGGAGGTTGGGGGGTTTTTGGTCCATGTTGAAGCAAGTTTCCTCGGTATTTGGGTACCCTGTTCCATGATGCTTTCGACTTCTCTGGTGTAGTGTCTGTTGAAGGTGTTTTAAAGTGGTTTAGAGTGTGTTTCCTGGACTTTCTCCTCAGAGAATATTCTATGGTATCTGAGTCCTGGCTGTAGATAGCAGATTTCTTGGTGTGTCTGAGGTGGTTACTGGATCTGTGGAGGTAAGTGTGTAGTGATCTGTGGCTTTCTTGTGTATGGTTGGCTGTAGGCTTCCATTACTGAAGCTGATCGTGGTGTCCAGGAAGTTGATGCTGGTGTGGGAGTGTTCTAAAGAGAGTTTGATGTGTGGGTGGCAGTGTTGAAGTTGTGGTGGAAATCTGTTGAGGGAGTTTAGGTTGTCTGTCCAGAGGATGAAAATATAATTGATGAATCTCAGGTATAGCATAGATTTTGTGGTGCATTTGTTGAGAAATTCTTCCTCAAGGTGGCCCAGGAAGAAATTAGCATATTGAGGAGCTGTCATAGTACCCATGGCTGTTCCCATGGTTTGGACAGAGTGTTAAATGTAAAATTGTTATGGATAAGGATAAAATGGATGAGATTGTTAAAGTTTTTGGTGTGGCTATGTAAGTGTTGTCTATTGTCTTATAGATATTGGAGGGAGGCAATGATACCATCATGATGAGGGATGTTGATGTATAGGGATATGACATCTGGTGGCAAGGACAGTATTCTGAGGGAGGTAGTTAATGTTAGATTTTCTGGAGTAAGTCAATTATGTCCTTTAGGAAACTGGCCCTTTCTGTAATGAGTGGCTTGAGCATGGGTTTCTGAGAATCTTCATATTCCTTCAGTAAGAGTGCTGTGGGCAGATATGATGGGTCTTTCTGGGTTCCCTTGTTTATGTATCTTGGGATGTATGTATAAGATCACTGGGTTATGTTTGTGGGGGATGAGGTTGTAGAGTTTTTCTTGGAGCTGTTTGTGGAAGGATTTGATGATCTCCTTTAATTCCTGGACTGGACCCAGTGTGTGAATTGTAATACAGGGTGGTCTTTGAATTCTCTATAGAAGGTGGTGTTGGAGAGTTGTTGGCTGGTCTTATAGTCATCACAGTTGTTAGTGGACAGATGTCTACCTAAAATCACCACAGAGAGGCTGAAGAGTGAATGGCTATGAGAATTGGGCTTCTCTCCTTACTCCTAGAGGTGGATCCCTCCCAAGGCAGTGTGAGGGAACCTTGCTTCTTTGGGATAAATGGAGGATTTTCAGTCTCCGGGGCTGACAGATTGGACCTCTTACATCAGCAGTGAGGAAGAAAGGGAATACAAATGTCTTAATTCTCCTGAGAGGAGACCAGAGATGCGATGTGATGTATATTGTATCATGTCCAAAAATCAGGTATGGTTCTTGAGCTTAGATGCCCTTGCTAAAAGTAGCTTTCCCTCTCCCTACTTCCTGTGGTAATGGCTGTGCAGCATTTATGCTTTAGCTGCCAACTAAGTGATATCCAATCCACAAAAATGGGATATCCATTGATGTCCCAGACTTGAGTCCTGATGTTTTAAAGGTGGTGTTGGACTGAGTATTTGAACATATTGGAGCTTACTTCCTGGCTACAAAACAAACCGAGAGGTCTAGAAAGGATAATGATGGTGATATGTGTGGGTACTTAAGGTGTGAGAAGGAACCTACTGTAGAATTGTTTCTTTTTTAAAATAAAGCTGTGTTGCTGCATTAAAGACTACTGCAGCTGATCCGTACTAATGTGTCACTTCATGTCCTTACAAAGCATTGAAGCAAATCAGTATTCCTCGTTGCTGTTTGCTTTCTTCATGTAGGCAGCAGCAGTTAATAATCTAACTAAAAACAAGTAGCTAGCAACCTGGCCTGTTGTGAAAACTGTCTGGATGTGCAGTTTCCACACTTGAATAACTATTCACAAATCTACTGCATTTTCTGCATTTTCTTCCCTTTTGATTCTTCACCGGGATATTTTTGTGTAAAGAGCAGAGCTCCCCTTTCTAATCATCCATCTCCTACCACTGTGGAACGGATAGGGAAACCAATGTGAAGGCTTGATTTAAAAGGAACACCGACTTAAAAATCACACTCCTGTCTTTTTTGTTTCTACAGTTTAATAGAACGGATGCAGAATGCATGGGGGAACCTTTCCTTTTCAGTTTTGCTTTTGTGCATTTGCTGATAGTGTAAAGTCGGATTCACATAAACAAATAAAAAACTTTTACACAGCAATTGGGAATGGGCGAAGAGACATTAAAACGATAAAAAGGAAGATGTGACTAAACCCACGTGTGGTCAAGGGCATTCAGGGCACGCGTATTAACTCCATTATTTAAGGCTGGGATTGTAAGTGCCCAGCTCCATTAGGCTCCTTTGAAAATCCCAGACGAATTGACTTGATGTCATGTAGACAATACCCCTTTAACTTGTTGATGCAACATTACGTTTGAAAAGCTGCCTTATTGTAACTTTGTTTTATTAAATATGTAGTCAGGTTCTTCTTCAGGTGCTGATCCCTATGGGTATTCATTGTGGGTGTGCATGCTCTTTGTGCACTGGGTACTGGAAATTCTTCAATACCAGTGTCCGTTGGTCCATGCTTGCACTCTGCACCTCTTTGTGCTCCCAACCAAGGACATAAGGGGTGGTGCAGATCAACAGCCTCTCCAGTTCCTTTTCTACAACTTGTGGTCTGGGATGGAACCCTCCTATGTCCGATTCTGCTCCTCAGTGCTCTGCTTTGTCAAACCTGTAAATATTGTAAATAATTGTTCAAAGTTGTAAATAGCTTGAGTTTTAGTGCTAAAATTAGTTATGTGGGGATTGTGGGGATTCCCTCAGCTCCCCCACCATTTTGTATACCTTTTATGCTCAAAGTTCCAGGCTTCAAGCCTTGCCTGGCTAGCCCCCAGGTCTTCTTACTGAGCAACCCACATGAGAGCTGCCTGTATTACCTCGGGGAAACACACATCCCTGCAAAGTGTGGCATCTGCCATGCTTCTCCCTGTGTACTAGGCAATCCCACTAATTCAAGTGCTGGAGCTCTCCATGAGGCTCTGTTCGGAACCTGGGCCCTCCTACTCCCCAACTACCTATTCAGAGCCTCCGGGCAACACCCTTCCTGTGTCTCATCCCAACAGATGGAAATCCTCAAGAAATGGACTATGAAGCAGGAGCATGAGGAAGGCAAGGGCCAACAACCCCACAAAAAGAGGGACAGATCTCCCCATAAATTCTCTAAAAACGGGTCTCCTTTGTCTCTTCGTCCTGTCAGACTCTGTGCTCCAGAACAGGTGCACCTGGAGCTACAGGAAGATTACATTGACTGTATCGGGAGCTTCCAGGGCACTGAAACCTTGCAGTGAAAGAACAGTAACAACTCGTGCACTGCATAAAAACAGAAGGGATCATTCTCCCTCTGCACTGGTGGTACTGGCCCTGCATACGTCCTCCACTTCCAAGGTGAGATGGACAGTTCAGGCCAAGCCCAAGACACTTTGCAGACTGGACCTCAATATGACCTCCTCTAGGACCTAGCTATCTATACAGATCTGGAATCCAGAGTCCTTCTCAGATCCAATCCTGTTATAGGATGTCCTGACTCAGTCAGGCCAGCATTGCCAGTAGCTTGCCCCAGCTGTGAATTGGAAGCTCCAGTGCAGTCACGTACTCTGCATCTACTCCTGTTCCTGATAGGCCAGGGTAGGATCCTGTGGTACCTTTGGCTCTAGTGTTGGAGCATGATAAGAACATAAGAATGGCCATACTGGGTCAGACCAATGGTCCGTCTAGCCCAGTATCCTGTCTCACAATAGTGGCCAGTGCCAGATGATTCAGAGGGAATTAATAAAACAGAGCATTTATCAAGTGGTCCATCTCCTGTCATCCAGTCCCAGCTTCTAGCAGTCAGAGGTTTAGGGACATCCAGAGAATGGGGTTTTCCCTGACCATCATGGCTAATAGTCATTGATGGTCCTTGTTAGGAGACTGTGAAATAAAAAGGGTAAAGACCAAACAATAATAATCTTGCTTCTGG